GTATATATAATATGATATTAAAAGTTTAAATGTTATAAGAATAAAAATTAACTTAAGTGATAGAAATCTAAATTTATTTGTTATTTATACTTATCATTTATGTGGTCATAATAAATAACTAAAATTGTTTGGTTTGTTTAAAAAATTAATTTTAAATTTATTTATATAATAATAGTATTATTAATATTAATATTAATATGAATAATAAAATAGAGTATATACATAACTCAAATTATTAAATGATAATAAAATATTGAGTGTATATTTTAAATAACTAAATTATGTCACTAAAAAAAATTAAAAACTTTTAAGGGCGATTTTGGATCACTTTTGATTTTTTTATTTTTTGCATTGTTTATGATTTAATTTAAAATAAACATATTTGATATGGTATAATATATTTAGTTGTTTTTCAAATTGCTAATTATTTTCTAAAAACTAAGAATAAAAGCACTTAAAAAATAAACTAAACGAATATTCTTATAAAATGAAAGTAAAAGAAAAATAAAATAAAAATGATCACAAGCAAATCCTTAGGGGATCTTTGGGTAAATTTATTTTTTGTTATTTGTTTTATTTATTTATTTATTTATTTTATTTCAACTTGTTTATGTTTTGATTTGAAACAAAATATGTTTGACATGATTGATTAAGATATGGCTGAACATCCAAATATTATTTTGAGTATTTTTAAAAGCATGTTTATTTATTTTTTTAAAAAATTAAATAAATAACACGTCATAAACACTTTTAACAAATATATTTTTAAAAACAAAGAAAAAATAGGAAAAAAAATTAAAAAAAAAGACCTCAAACAAGCCATGTTGTTTTACTTTTTCATTTCTATACCTATATTGACTTTCTTTTTTTCACAAGCCTTTATCACAATTAGTCCGGTCGGCTACATGTATCTTTTTCTCCTTTTTGTCCTATTAAATGTCATATTTTCATTTAATTTCAACAGATTAAGATCATTTCTTATACAATATGCTCGTCTTTACCTCTGCTTTTCTTAAAATAAGTCGAATTTAAAATATCCACTCTCTTAAATGGATCATCATATAGTTGACAATTAATTTAACAAAATCATCAAAGACTACTTTCTCTAATTTAGTTTGCCACTGGAGCTACACCAACCTATTCACGAATGGAATTGTTTCACACTTTGTCTCTAAGTGTCAAGCCACATATCCACCTAAACATTCACACCTCAATAACACTTAACTTTATTTTATGCTTCTCTTTTAAAAGCCACAATTATGCACCACAAAGCATTGCAGGTCTCGCCACCATTTTATAAAATTTTCCTTCAAGTGGTACTTTTCTATCTCACAATTGACGTGATGTTTTCCTCCACTTCAATAAACTAACTTAAATTCTACTAATAACAACCCTATCAATTTTACCATCACTTATGAAAAATAAACCTGAGATGTCTAAAACATTCACACTTTTTTAATAATGTTAAGATATGTAAGATAAAAAAATAGTTGGCTGATTTATTTAGATCTTGGCACGGAATTATCTATTAAAAAAGGTACTTATAATATTTTTGTTAAATTTAGTGACTGATTAATTATATTGAAATCAAATATAAAATTATAATGATTAATTTAAAATAAACAAACCTATCACCATATTTCATTTTAAAAAATATATATTAAAATATAGCTCTGTAAAAATGGAGAAAATATTACGTCTAGATAGCTAACACGATGCACCCAATTCATTACTATTATTATTATTTATTTTTATTTTATTTTTTTGCATTCTAATGCATGACGCGCGCGCGCGCACACATTCAGAGAAGTCTTTGTTTAAGATATAAAGCCGCTAGTAATAGAAAAAGGCAAATCAATTAAGTCTTAAAACTCTATTTATTAAAGCTGATCAAGCAAAAACCTTACAAATCAAGAGATCGATCTTTGTTGATGCTTTCAGCCTCGCTCTACAGGCCAAGTGGCTTAACAAAAAGTTTTAATCCTCAAATGGAGGACGACGACATGAGGCTACGAAATAACATAATTTGGTTAAGATTAGTTTTTGTGTCAATCAATGTTGATCTTATCTAACATCTGGTCTTATATATGTAGCATACAATGTCATATCATAGCTAGATATCAACGATCAATAGCTTGATCTACTCGATACACATGTAAATTTTGTTGGTTTCTAAATTCATTAAAGTTTGATAGAATGGTCAAGGGTCCAAGAAAATTTATATAGATTTCAAGACAATTGTAGATCTTAACATGATTGGTCAAGGTCCAAGAAAATTTATATAGACTTCAAGATAATTGTAGATCTTGACACGAAGCTTATTAATAACATGTTAAAAATACCTATAATTTATTTTAAATTGTGCAGATACTGTTGCGGAGAAAATTGTTGGTTATTTATTTATTGTTGTTTGAAAACAGCTGCAACAAAGTTGTTTCTGGGCAAATGATCATTCTGTCCGTGTAGTAACGTTGTTTGCAACAAAACTGTCATAACAATATATTTGATACTTTCGAAACAAAAATCCAGTTCATATCAGTGCAAAAAATAAGATAAAAACCTCACTTAATATCAAATATCATCATTATTGAAATAAAGAAAAAAAGACTATTAAAAAATATTTAATAATATGATAATATTATTATCATATTATAATATTATAATACCTATACCCAAGAAGCAGAGATGAAGCACAATTCACGGATTGGACAAGTGGCAAGAGGGGATCTTACCTCCGGGGTGACGATAGAGAAACTCGGTCGTGAGGGGAGGGAGAAGCTCGATCGCGAGTGGGGGTAGGGTGGTCAAAGGCGGGTGAGAAATTAATACGAAACGTGAGCCATTAGTTTGAATTTTTTAAAAGTGCCCCTGCGCCATATTTTTCAAACCGACAAAAAAAAAAAACTTTTTGGGGCTGCGCCACGATTAAAATGCGGCGCCAAACGACCCCTAAATCAGTGTACCAGGGTTATTTTTTAGAGCAAAATTTCAAGTTCTACGACATTAAAAAAACCGAGGTACCTATATAACAAATATCCTAACTAAGCATCCATTTTAGTACAGCATAAGGATCATCAAGACAAATCCTTGATTCACTCGTTATACAACTTTACACGGCGTCCAGATATAATACAAAACCTCATTATAACATTGCATCAAGCCAGATATAAAATAAAAATCATATGAAAGTTTAAATGGAATTTATTAGTGAAGTCAATGCATACGAATATTTATTCTTAAAATTTCCCAACTTACAAAATATGTAACCAGACAAAACCATGAAAATAAAAAGACTATAATCATAAAAATTAGGTGGGATGTTTGTAAATCTTCCTACTTTTTCTGCACTGGCTAACCAATGGCATAAATATTAGTGTGGGGCACAATTCATTTGCGGACACATGTAGAGACTGGTAAAGATCACAACTACATGTTTCTAAGAGGCAGCTGCTGGTGAGATTTCAGAGGAAATGGGGAATTGCAGAAAATGGAAATAAGGATTTTACAATCTGATTACTAAGTAAATAAAACAACAGTGCAAGGCAAAGGCCGTTCCGGCTCTGTTCATTGCTATTCCTCAAAACCCTTAATGGGAATAGTAATAACATAGTAATAAATATGACTTTACAAAAAAAATGATTTTTTTATAAGATTACACTGACAAAAAATGGAAGTTTGGATAGTAAAACACATAAGAAATAATTTCAAGAAGGCTTCACTTACTGACAACCTGCTGCACCGCAAGTCTTTGGACATGAGTCAAGTTCTGCACAGCATGGAATCAATGAGAAATCTCAATATCATAAAGAAAGAGCACTTTGGAGGAAAAAAATGTGTATAAAAGAAGAATGCACCACATTACCTGGCAAAGATGGTCAAAAAGTAACATGTCCATGTTCCGAAAGTTTACAAAGAAGTTCCTGAGAAAACTTGCAAGCTTGGTCTGCCAGACGCAATTTTATTAGTAAATTTATCCGGGAAAAAAATGTTAAAATAGTCCCCTTATTATTTATAGTAAATCATTTTAATCCCGAAGTCCATAAAAATGCCAATTTAGTGCCCATACTCCTTTGATCGTGGTGACTATTTCGTACCAAATTTAAAGAATATGGAGACAAATTTAACGCTTTTATAAACTCTGGCGCTAAAATGGCCCCACGTAAACAATCAGAGGCTATTGTGGCACTTTACTGATTATCAAAGGGAGAAATTTTGTAAATTTAAGGCAATTCAGTGTGAACCTCATTTAGTGGATCGGCATTGACAAGTTCTTCTTCACTGTTATCATCATCACTCTTGAAAATTTGAAGATTATGTTAGTAACCAGCTAACAATACTTTGAGAAACCAAGTAGAAAAGAATGTCAACTCAGTCAACAACCAACACACCTCATTAAAGTCCTTAGCCATTGCATCAAGATGATCAATAGCACCATTACGCTTTGAGGGGACATTCGATTGATATAATAGATCGTGTGGACCACAGCAATTGCTATCTGAGGCCTCCTCCCAGTCACTGTCCTGTAGACAGTGGAAGAATTTAGATCAGAAATCCTATGAAGTTTTTCAAAATTACATAAAAAATCTGATTAAGCTACCTCATCACTGTCATTGTCATCGCCCAAAACTTGCTCTTGAGTCTCAACCAGTGCATCTGATAATAAAGTAAATATCTGCAGAACATGCAGCATGAGAACCTATGTTATTATTATGCTTGATCTACAGACCTAAGTTATTTGGGATTAGACCTAGTTTAAAACCAGTAAAATTATAAACCTCCGTACAACGAGTACAATGCTGTCAGACACATCCGCTAAATTATTTAGGGAAATTTACACATACCACATAATTCTTTTGTATTTACATGTCTAACATTTTCATGCATAGTTTCATGACAGCGAGTATACTTCATTGTTAACAAGTTAGTAGTAGAAGTATGTGATATTACGAATTAGAGTGCTATATATGTCAATATGAAAGTTTAGGAGTTAAATATATAAACATATAAGAATTTCATGGTATGTATCTAAATGTCCCATATTTATTGATTTTTTACTCTAAAAGAGCGTTCGAGCAAAAAGGGACAGCAGCCGTTATCATTTCATTATTAGGATGGAAAAACATCAATTTTTCTGTAAATAAAAGCATCAATTTTGCTGGAAGCATTTAAGATGTACCTTTGCAGGAAGTGGAATTATAGTCCACTGGTCAGGAGATAATTTAGCTTTAGAACGAGTAGTTATACCTGCATTTGACTGATTATTTCAAATCGATCAACTACGGAACAATTAAAAAAAAAACAGAAAAAATCTAGCAAAGTTGAATTCCTCCAAAGAAAATGAATACCTTCACGAGATGGCCTTGAACGTTAACTTTTGCTAATTCCTCATGACGTGAGGATAGCAAGAGTGCCAGGGCAGTTGTTGTAACCTTGATCTGGTATGCTCCCTGGATTTCGCCTGCCTCATAAATAGAGCAGCAGACCATCAGCTTTAAAATGGGCAAAATAATTACTGCAATTCTTTCAATAGTATTTTGTTTTTTGGCAATTTTACATATGTTGCACAAAATCTTATGTATTTACATATCTCACACCTAAACTTCCATATTTACATGCATAGCACTTTGGTGCGTTAAGCCTATGCATGAAAATGTGTATCTCACTTTTAAAAAGTGGTAATGGTGCTATTTTTGTGTGATATTAAAGATTTGATTGCTGTGTTTGTAAATATGGAAGTTTAGGTGTTAGATGCATAAATATATAAGAATAGTGAGGTATGTATGTAAATGTCCCTACTTTTTTTTTATTTTAAAATAATCTTAGAATATACTAAAATTCAAGAATTACAGTCTGGCAAAATTACTTATTTTCAGAAAAAAGGTTAGGAAGTAGCAACACATCTGTAAAACAAATGCATAAAAGAAGAAATAGCATGATAAAAGTGAATTGTGCAGCTTGCAAGCCTGACAGCACACGTTACGCCATCCACATGGCAGAAACAATTTTTATCCTAACAAAATTGGTAGGACCACAGGTTGAGTAAAAGACACAGTTAAGATCATCGATGGAAAACATTACAAAGCAACATTATTTTCAATAAACACAAAAATGCAGAAGATTTATTTCATCATATATAGTTTTCATTAGGGTTAATATCTTCCCATCAATTTGCAATCAATTATTAAGAAATTTATCAGCAGTTTCCCCTTTTGTTTTTGCATTTATAAATAGAGATGCTTTTTTCAGATATATCAGTCAATTTGTAGCATAAAAAATTCTTATTTTGAATATGAAAACTCTTCATTTTCATCAATTCCAGGATCATTGATTAAGAGTGACACCTGAACCCTTTCAAGAGAGGCAATTTCCTTACTAAAACATGAGGTTTGCTTATCAGGGTATTCATTCTCTTCATCTTCTTTGTCAACTTTTCTGGTCATTTCATCTATGCTCTATATCAAAGCTGTATCAACACCCTAATATGGATCATCGGTTATTATAAAATCAAATTCAATTAATAATCTCCACTTTCCAACTGCAAAAAGTTATTTTGTTCTATCATCGAACACAAAATTTATTATTTTCAGAAAAGTAATTATACATGTGAACAATAAACCCACCAAATTCCCAATATTATATCCTAATTGAAACTCCTATCTCCTACAACGAACTACAAAACAATTCTATTATGCACATAAGTAACCTTGCTCAAAATTCAAAGTAAAATTCCTGATAAACCTCTATCTAATCTACCAAACCTCTAAATTTCCTCTGAGAAACTAGCAATAAGCCTTCATCATGAACCTATTCCAGCCAATCTAATCAATCCAAAAAGCGTTAAATCAAATTAGCCTAAATTCAACAAAAACACAAATCAAACTCAAATTTCACCCATGGAGCTCATAATGCCTGCTAGAAAGAATGAATAGCAACTACTTGCTGCTGCTTGGTGCAGTACCCTAGGGACTACTTCTAAACAGAGCGAGTCTTCATTCTGCAAGCTTGCACAGAGCCCTACCATGTTTTGCATTCCTG